TAAGCATAAGATTGTTATGTGAACTTCGTTCATTAATGGAATACTGTGCGATGACGCTATTTTCAGGGCCTAACTGATTCAGACTCCTATATTGACTATGTCCCGGGCTGTTTACTAGTACCATGGATCTAGCTCCATGCTTGTACCAACCTACTTACTTGTCAGTGTCTAACTGTTATATACAGCACAGAACACGTCAGAATAGTAAAAAAAAGGTCAGCTAATGCCAGTTGCCCGTGCCATGAGAGCCGGCCACAGAACCAAAACAATCTGTCAGCCTTCGCCGCCCACAGCATCGATATGATTTTATATTGCATAGAAATGAACACTAAATGCAGCTATCCCGGTCAGCAATCGAGGGAGCAAATCGTTTTTATGCTACGAAATAAATGAAGACTTTGAACGTACATTGTGGACTTTAGTACAACGTCATTTTTGTTCGATTACCTAACGTTTTTAGGTTCATGTGCTGTAAGTTACAGAGCACATACCTAAGCATCCGTCCCTCAGCAAATAATGAAGCAAAGGCATTTTACGCAAACTGGGAAGTTCGAATTACTAAACGAAGTACAGGACGACTAAGCTTAGATATCCAAGAACCAACACATACCAAAAATGATATCTCAAAAGTGAATATTTGTGGTGTATTTTAAGTCTAACTGGGACATAAGTGAGAATTCGTTAGAACTCTAAATATCCAAATATATTTTAGTATAAGGTAGTAAATATTTTGTTTCTTCTCAATTAAAACTACTTTTTTGTCATTGACTAGTACAAGGTGTAAAGAATCCAGTGGGAAAATGTAGAATACCGGGCATAAGAAAGACATCAGGAGTGAAAAGGAAATCCAGCTATGAAAATATGGAAAATGATAAACAACCGAAAATAACTGTTTTTCAAGTTAAACAAATGTAAGTTTAAGTTACCTTTTTATTCATTGATGTAGATGGTGGCTGTGGTTGTTTTTAATATATGGACATCAGTGTACATTTATGCTGCTATCCTACTGTTAATTAGAAGGCACTGTACTATCAATTTCTAATATCCTACCTAACTTCTACCAACACATCATTTAATGTGGGTTAGGCCAAATCAAAATTTTCCATGTCATCTTCTTTAGCTTTCATTGTCATGCATCAATGCCATTAGGATACAGAAAATGGGAAGAAAAAAAGAATTTGTGATAAAGTCAGAAATTGAAAATTTACAAAAATTTTCAAATTTATGCACTGGTCACTATGGTGAAAGTATTCTTATCTCCAAATGTGCTCAGTAGACAAAAAAAGCCATAATATTGATATAAAATTCGTTTTTATAATTGTTTCATATATTATTTTATTTAGTGAGTTTCCAGTATGATAATAGTTTTCTATTATAAACCATAGGAAGTTTTCTCCCATTCTGCATTGCACATGTGAGCAATAACATGTAGTGCAAAATTTGTAAATAGTTTGAACTGCTGGGATTGATATGTGCCCAGCAATTTACCATTACAATTACTCATAATGATGATATTTTTTTTTACAATCTCAGTGGTGTGAAAACTAAGAAAAAAAAACCCATGTCTCCAGCAAAGGACAATGTCAGCGATGTTATAAACTGATCCACTCATCAGACATTTGAACACTACATCATCCTTGTGCAAGCCAAGTTAGCAACTACAATGAAGTATTCTACACATGTCATTACTAATCTTTGCAAATCATGTTGGAATATCAGCATTTTTCAGCAATGGTCTCCTCATACCAGGTCATTAACTAAATTCTACAGTCTAACAATAATTGTGAAACAATAGAGATTTGACTTTAGTGATTTTCACCTGTAATGTTTTCATAATAAAGTAACTATTTTTATATAATTTGTTTATGTTGAACATTATGCTGTATTTAACGCCCAAGAAATGACACAGAGATTGGAGGAAAAAGTCGGGGGGGGGGGGGTGGTATGACCTCACGTGCGAAAGCATCTTAGCCGCCTATGTCATGATCTAGGTCGCCAGTGACCAAGATCATGACAATGACAGCGTGGTGCTCGAGTGAGGCAGCCACCTGTGGGGACTCGTGTGCGTAGGCGTCATTGAGGCCTCATCTCCCTTGGTGTTTCGGTCATATTCGACTCGCCTCGGGCACAGTGTTACACGAACCGAGCCATGAATCCCTGGTGACAACCCACCAATGTAGGCACGTAATTGGTAAATGAGGATGACATAAGGGATAAAGCCAAGGATAGGCTGAGAATGTGGACATAGCAAGTCAAGGGTCATGACTGATGAATATATGCGTAATGAGGTAAACATAAGACCAAGGGTAAAGATATACCAGAGATAAGGAATCAGGTCAGATTGGTAACAATGACAAGAGAATGATGAATGCTCATTTCCAGGCGTTAACACCAATTAAAGACTGCGTATTTAATTGTGACATTTAATGTAGGTATTTGCTATGCATTTTTGCATGTTATGATTGTGAACGCCATAGTTATGGTCAGCATCTTGACTCTTAAAGGGCTATTAGCGGCGTTTTCAAGCTTTTTTTTCGTATTTTTCTTATATTTAGCTTTTTTTCACTATCATAGCGACGAGAGAGCTATAAACTGATAGGCAGCAAAAAAATTATCAACGTGTTACAAACGCACAAATATCAAGTTAAATTTATTTCGGGACGTCCCGATAAATGCCGTAAAATGGTGAATAATCTGAGAGCATGCGCAGTACCATCTCAGAAAAAATGGCAGATCAGACTGGGTGTAGAAAGCACGGTCGCCGAAGTGTGAGCGGATCTGCGAAAAAACGACGACAGACAAGCAAGAATCCGACGAAGTTTTCTCTTGGCCAAGAGGTGACAGATGGATTGCCATAAAATTGGAGCACTCTCTTGGTTCAGACGCAAACGTAGCCAAGTTTTTATTCGCTAGGTGAGTTGTGTTCAATGTCTTATTGCGTAGTACAATACACGGGTTATGTATCCTCCGTTTATATCCTTGTGTTGTGTATTTTTCTGGGAAAGTTTGGCATATGTATGGCCACAACGGATTTAGGAATCATGTATGACACATTGTAACAAGTTTTATTTTATATTCTCAAAGACGAAACGCAACAGGAAGTCAGTGGAAACAACAGATTTTTTTCGTTTATAATAGCGTGGGGAAAAGTTGGTTAGCATGGGGAACAACGGAGGTGTTAATCCGAAAATTCATTGTCTATTCTTGTTTGTGATTAGTCCTGGCAACGTTTGGGGGATCATGACGTAACCAAGGGTGTAACTCCGTCTTTGAGAATTATTGTTCTGTTGTGCCTTGGTAAGCAAATAGTTGTTTAGATAACATTGTTCATTTCTTTGTTACCTTAGCCATGGAGCTAAAAAAAATGTATTAGCTCAATGCCTTAACACATGTGGATGAGTGTATTATTAGTATTATTCCATCTTTAAGTTGTTTGAAATTGTTTAATGACAAATTGTTTTTATTTTATTTTCTCTACCAGTTTTTTCAATTGTATTTTTTTTTTTTTTTTTTAAACTCATTGTCATGCTTTAGATTTACTTATTGACTCTTACACAATCCCCGAAGGAAAAGAAAATGGTCACAAAATACAAGAAGAAAAATATATATAAAAATAAAACAAAAAACACAATATACTAAATAACAAATACAATCACTAAATTACTAAATAATACAAAATCTCTAAAATACTAACTAATATGAAATTACTAAATTGACAGCAGGCATAAAGATGTCAAGTAAGACCCTGCTTCCTGACTTCGAAGCTTTTACTTATGAACTGTGCTACTGGTATAATAACGTTTTCATTCTGTAACAATTCCATGATTTTTTTCTCTGCAGGTTTATTTTCAAATGCTGGGATCATATCATTATCTTTATTGAACAGTTTGGCACGCAACTCATTGTATTTGTTGCATTCCAGCAGAAAATGCATTTCATCCTCAATTAGACTTTCGTTACACATGTCACAAACCCTGTTGTTAAATGGGATTTTTTTATGACGACCCATTTCAATTTTGATTGAAAGTATTTTTTTGAAAATTTGTATGTTTAATTTTAAATATGTGTTCTAGTGTAATCATTTTAACTCCTGGGGAATTTTAAGTGTTTCAATAAACAATAAAGCTGGCCTAAATAGTCATGTTTGCACTGTGAGACACATCCTACTAATTTTAAAGATAGATAGTACTGATAAAATATTGTTTAAACATGTGATGTCATCATTTGGCAGAAACAGAGCACTTCCATGTTGTTCAACTCATGGAGCTCCATGTTCAACTGAAACCAAAATTAGCATATCTATAGCAAAGGGATATATTCATAGATACTAATAAGAAGGGAAATTTAGGTATATTTGATTATCTACCCTGAATTACAAGACAAAACAAAAATGTTATCCAAGCCAGGGTTAAGAAAGTATTGTACTTCAATGTATTCATTTTGTTGTTTATATTTGTGCATTTATGAGTTTGATGCGAGATGTTTTTAGAGAAACGTGTACAAAAGGGATACTTTGTAGAATATGTATTTCACAATTTTTCGTGGTGAAACAATCATTTCTATGTATTTTGTTTTACTACTGGGTGCTCATAATTATATTTACCACATAATAAAAAATATGACCAATGTAAAAGGACACATACAAAATATGTGAGAGACCGACTAATGGCTAAACAGTTCTGACTTTTTAATTATGTGTTTATTCTCTTGCTGCAGGTATCATGCTAGTAAGACTGTACCCTCAACATCAGCTGCAGGTCCCAGTCCTGCCAGTGTTCAAACTATGCAGCTACAGAAAACAACAGAATTTTTTTGAAAAAAGGCTGTTAATTCTAAAAGGTATGATTCTTGCTATCATCATGTCTTTATTTACTATATTCACTTCTAGACAATGTCAGAAAATATGTGTTCTATTCATGTTTTTGTATGTACAATTGTAACGAGTTATGCTATTTTTGCATGATTTACCGGGTAATATTGTTTAATTTTTACTTGGTCAGATGGGATACCATTCTAAGGAGTCTGTTATCCCTTCATCGTCCACTCCAGGCCCTAGTAAAACTGTTCCTATACTAAGAACTCTGGAAGTGTCAGAAATATCCTTTTCTGAATCTGAAAAGTGAGTTTTTTCTCAAAAATGATATTAATATTTTTTGTGTAGTTGTTTCATATAATGTCATCTTGATGCATGTATTATATCTTATGAAATACAGACTTATATTGTTATTTCATATTTTAGGAGTGTTGTGTCTTGGATTGACCTGATGAATCAAACTGCTAAACAGAGCTGTAAAGATTCAAGGTAAACAAAAACAAAACATTTTTATTTTTTAAAAAAACTTCCCCCTGTGGCAAAGTATATCACAACAGTTGAACAATTACAAGATGGTAATTTTACATGGCATAACTTAAGTGAATAGACTGTAACACATTCAGCGTATTTTAGCTGCCGTGTATTCTGTTTATTCGAGATACCTAAATCATAACACCAGTGCATTGTCTCACACGCATGACTGTTTCTTTTTCTCCCAGCATCGCACCATGTAAAGAAACAACACAACACCAAAATCGTTTTCGGTCATGTTGTTTTCATACTAAGTATTTGAAGCCACTGTTTCTTTCGGCTCTGATCGAACTGAATCGAACTCTGGCAGATCTCTGCTCTTGTTTGGCCCCGACGATGTGAAAGCACTGGAGATAATTTCTTGTTAATCGGTGGGAGGAGCAGTAGTGCAGGTTCTATAGAATGCTGCCAGGTGAACATACATATGCCACGTCAGTGGATTGCTAGGAGGTATGCAACAACACATCAATGTTGTACTTGTTAATTATATTCTACCAGGTGATGGTAGAATGGACTCTCCGGAATACTGTGCCCAATACTGTTCATATACAGTAATGGAGAATAGTTCAAAAGAAATTTTGTCAGTGATATCAATGGACAAAAGGATTACTGAGAGAAAGTCTACCAACCTTGAAAAAAAATGTTTTGAAGAAAATATGAATCTGCTGTTAGAAAAAAATGTTAACATACATGAAGTTGTGACTGATGCACATATGCAGATTGCCTCTCTGATGAGTGAGTACAATAATTTATACCCATAATGCATTGTGAATATTCTTTTGCTTAATGTGTGTTTTGAGGTAAATTGGTGGAAGTAACATGTACCGAGTTGTGATATTGACAGGTTAGGTTGAGTATGCCAGACAATATAAGGCAAGACGAAACTTTCATTTTGAATAAGCATTGTATTCAGTTGCTGGCCAAGTGCACAAAAAAAAGAAATTTAGCAATCAGAATTTTATTCACATGCCATCTTTTGTTGTTAAGGCATTACAGTATTCACTTCATTAGCAAGGAATGTTTTATTCAAAACTGAGCAGCGTTTCTGTCAAAAATCCATATACACGTTTTTGTCTCTAATGAGTTTGCCAGAGTTGTATAAATGTTGAACATTTTGCTTTTTTTTTCAGAAAAGGCGTATCTAAATATAAAACATTCACATGACATTTGGCATGCAGCTGAAAATCTTTGAAAAAAAAAAAAAAAAAATTCAGGTGAGTGTATACCGGTATTTTGCTTCAACTGTTCAATTAAAGTGAATGGTGATAATATAATATCATATGTCAGCTTTTTGAAAATTTATTGAGAATTGTGTTCATAAAATTCCAAATATATTTCTTGGATATTAACATGCATTTTATTGACTCCAGTTTCACATGAGTTTGTTTGTGTGACCCTGTATTGCAGACTGGGAAGCACAAGGACAATGTTGCTTGTTAATAAATGTCTGGCTCCAAATTCTTCTGCTTAGATAAACTTCAAATTCCTTTGTACTTTTAAACTACAGATAAGTCTAATATCCCTGCTTGAAAATCATTCATATTTCTTCCCAGGCTGCCCAAAACAAGGAATGTAAACCTTTACTGAAGTGGAGTTCCCATATTGTTAACCATTTTTGGTATTGTTGCCAGAAAGCTACCAGTTACGATATGTTTTTTGTAAGTATAATTTTTAATTTCACATTATTCTATCTTGCTTCGTCTCTAGCTGTGCAATGTGAACCAAGTTATGGATTTGCAAGCTGCTACCAAATATTTTATTAAGTCAAAACACCGTGATTTCAACCACTCTCCCAGGTTGCTACAATATTGCAACATTGGTTTCATCGTCGATGATGGTAAAGCCAAACAAGTGCGACACATGCTTTGCGGCTCTCTGAGAAAGCAGCAACCAAACGAATTTAAAAAAGAGAACTACTGTTCCTGCTTTTTGTACACTTACTGACTGTTATGATTCAGATAAAAAAATCATGAAAAATTAATGTAAATTACGTAAACAGAAGAAGTCCACTTTTAATGTTATTTTTCGCCCCCTGGGCAAATGATCAGGCATGGGCTCTTGCCCGGGTAAATACGATACAATCATGACTTTTTTCCTTTATTGTGATTACAGGGAATGTGGGGTGGTGCACTTCACCATGTTGTGGATGAACACAGCTGGTACTACCCTATACTGAGGGAAGTGCAGAGTGTGACCATCAACAATTGCATTGATTGTATACTTATTTATTAAAATATGATGTATTTTGACCATAGAAACACCTCTGTTATTTACATAAGAGCATGCGCTACTAATAGAGCAAATACAGTATTGCATGCAACATCTCTGACAATTTAGCTGTTTTAGTTTAAATAAATTTACAGACTAAAACAGAAACAGTGTGCATCTAATTTTCACTATGTTGTATTAAGACTCGATGAAACGTATAGAGAATGCTGCATTTTCACTGGAATTTATTTTGCAGAAAATTGACTTCAGGTAAAACAGGGAAAATAAAATGCCAGTGCAAATAAAGTATTCCACGGTATGTTATGTGACCACAATAATAGACAAGATACGTTCATAATTGTATGGAACCATGTTTTTCTAAACAAGTAATAAATAAAATAATATGTTCCAAGACAATGTTACGCCCTAGCAACGCGTGCCAGTGTAGAACTAGTGTCACTGTCTGTGTGAAAAAAAAATAATCAGACGTCTAATCTGAGTCACTGTCCAAATATAAACGGAACTCCTGAAGGGACTACTTTTTTGCTCTCAGACCTCACTTGCATATGAGGTGTGGAAATACCGATTTTGATTTCAGGGATGAATCAAAATAAACTGCAGTACACATATGTAATAATAAAATGAATAAAATGTAATAAAATAAATATTAAAATAAATTTTTGTCAGCAAATGTTTTACATCATCCTCTTACAGAGCAATCTTGTTCTGACCTACAATCCGACTCTCACCACCCACCTCGCATTCACCAACCATTCCCCTATCACCACCCACCTCACTCACACCTACCATCTCACTTTCACCAACCATTCCACTTTCACCACCCACCTCACTGATACCTAGCATCTCATTTTCACCACCCACCCACCTCACTCACACCTACTATCTCATTCTCACCACCCACCTCACTTTCACAAACCATTCCACTCTCACCACCCACCTCACTCACACCAACCATTCCACTCTCACCACCCACCTCACTCACACCATCTCATTCTCACCACCCACCTCACTTTCACCAACAATTCCACTCTGAAGACAAAGGTCAAATCAGATACCGTGTCATCCATGTTGTTTCAGCGTTTACTGTACGCTTCGTTTTGATGATTTTTTCTCTTCTCACCATTCCATTACATACTATTTATATTGCTTTTGCACACATAAATTGTTATTGCAGTAAACTATTTAACATTGAAATATTAAATTCTTATCCAAATCAATAAATATTACCGTATTTACAGAAGTACTGCAGAACTGGAAACCTGTCAGCAACATATTTTGATGTATGCTGCCAAAAGATTTGCCTATTCACCACCAGTTTACAGAGCAAGAACACTTCTAGCAGAACTAGACCATAACATTCATGCAGATAGAAAACTTCAAAGGACACAAACTGGTGAACAGAGGTGATTTTTATTTTAGTTAGTGTTAGCTATGTCATTTTAGGATATTCCTTAGCTGGAGAAAAAGCAATCTACATCCATGTTGTATACATGTACTTGTTTTTACATTTCGGCAAAACAGGCAAAATTGAGAATGCAAGTCTTTAAGCAATAACATTTTTAGCCAACAAAAAATATGGCTCAAATTTTAGTGTGAACAATTCTGATCAGAAAAGAACAAGATCAATAATTGTCAATGAGAATAAAATGACATATACTGTATTAATCTCATCATGTTTTATAGAATAACATGACTTGTATAAATGTATAATATATATATATATATGTATGTATATATATATATATGTATGTATATATATATATGTATGTATATATATATGTATGTATGTATATATATATATATGTATATATATATATATGTATGTATATATATATGTATGTATATATATATATATATATATATATATATATATATATATATATATATATATAT